GCAATTTCGACGAATTGCATCGACATCTGTGTCGGATAGAAGAGTTTTGACGTCCAGCAGAAATCCAAATTTTGTGTTCAGGTCTTTTAGTCGTAAAAACCGTGTTGATAAAATACGCTCTTCATAACGCACACAATTTCTTCTTCTCCTGAAAGTCATGCAACTCTTGCCAGTTCTCCTGGCATCTTCCGACGTCGCCTAATTATTCTGTCCACATCGATCCCCCAGGCTGTGCATCTTGTTTTGGCGTTTTCTACAGCAACTTGGCTCAAATCATCACGAAGCTTGACAAATTCATGCTCCAAAGATTCAAGATCAGTTGCTGCTTCCTTGAAATTCATAGTAGGATCCTGTAAGCGCTTCTGAACACGATACATTTTTCCAAGAATGACATTCCAGAAATGTAATAAAACTATGAAGTTAAAATTTAATACGCATGCAAGTAACTGCATCACTTCTGGTTTCAGGTGTCATAGTTACGTCCTCTGATAATTTGTCTAGCAGCCCTACTAGTTCATCCAGTCCTTCATAGATAGCTTTAACAGCTTCTGACCGTGCACTCCAGCGTGTTTCAGAGTCCCGCTTTACTGTGATGGGCACAGCTTTTTTAAACTCTTCCCAACGAATTGTTGAACGAGAGAAAAACAAATATATACGTTCAACTGTTACAAAAAATGTGAAGACAAGTGGATCCTGTTTAGCTGAGTGTACTCCTGCTAAGTTTAAGCTGTGGTTGTCACAGTTGACAAACAATGCTCTGTGATTTTTGTCACATATTCGTTGTTGAAGGCCGGATATATGCCCAGTCATCACAGCAGCATCGTCATAACATTGTGCTGCTAAATGAAGGCCACGCTATGTTGACGTGCGTGGGCTGCTCCGGCTGCTGCAGCCGCCTGGAGCGTGGTGTCACTAATAAGAACTAAAAATAGGCCGTCGTAGTTTCCGCCACCAAAAAACAGGCCAGTGACTAAGGCTGAAAGACTGCGCCTGTCTGTTGTTTGGGACGTTCTTCCATGTAAATTCTTAATAGGCGCGCGTACAAAAATGTAATTACATGACATGTAGGCTGTGTGTGGCGGGATATAAAAACTTTTAGGTTGAGGTGTAATTTTGTGCAGTAGTTTCAGGCTGCCGCGCCCGCCGCAATAAGTTATAATGTAACGTTGTAAGCCTCATTTTGGCGCCCCTTTACCTTGGCGCCCGGGGACATATGTACCCCCCTGCCCCCCCCTAGCTACGCCTCTGGGACTCGACCCGGTGCCGCTGACGACGCCACCACAGGCAGCTCCCAACACAAGCGAGTGCAACACTCCCTTAGGGGCCGTCCATAAATGACGTCACGCACCTAGGGGGGGGAGGGGGTCAGACATTTGTGACAATGTGTGACGAGAGGGGGGGGTTGAGAAATGTGACGTCACATCAAAATGCGCAACTTTAAATATAGACAACACGTTCTACTTAATTAAACACATTCCTGCGGAGGGAGCTGGTAGGAACGTTGGGTTGCTCGGTCAATGACCAGGGTCAACGGCGGCGTGGTGTATTCCGCAAATATGGCCGACTGTGAGGGCGGGCACAATCCGGCGTGAGTAGGTTAAACGGTGCGTTTTATAAGGGCACCACGGGGTGACCAGCCCCTCCCCACCCAGCCCCACCTCTCCCACCCACCCACCCCCCACCCAACCCCACCCTCCCCACCCAGCCCCTCCCCACCCTCCCCACCCAGCCCCTCCCCGCCCTCCCCACCCAGCCCCTCCCCACCCAGCCCCTCCCCACCCAGCCCCTCCCCTCCCCACCCAGCCCCTCTCCACCCTCCCCTCCCTCCCCACCCAGCCCCTCCCTGCACGACGGACGGACGGACACAATAATCCCATGTGGGCTGGTGTAACCAGGAGGTTCCTACCAGTAATATACTTTTTTAATGTTTTCTCTTACAACATAATAGTGCAGCGCCACATTAAATACGCACTACAATGGCAATAGTTTAAAGCTATTTGAAGCATGTTTTATTCTTTTTTGGGGGGGGGGGGGCAGAGCCTTGTGACGTCATATTTGAGGGGGGGGTCTGACTTTTTGTGACGCCGTGTGACAAGGGGGAGGGGGTCAAAAATCGTCCAAAATCGCTTGACGTCATTTATGGACGGCCCCTTAGCTCTGAGTTAAGATTTCCACTTTACGTGCTGTATGCAACTGGTGTATCCGCCCATAGTTGACCTGACACACTGTGATCCAATTGTATTTGAATGCTCAAAACATTGCAATGCTCAATGCTTTGAACACTCAAAGGACAGCCCCGTAGGGTCAGTGAGCCCAGGAGAGGGCGGAGGCGGGCACCACGAGCCGTAGTGGCAGCGTTAGCAGGGAGACCCTTGCCGTGCTTGACGAGTGCGTTCGTGCGTGACCACGCTCTTTGTAAACAAACACGCGCCGAATCGAGAGCAGAGTCTGGGCCTCCTCGTGTCTGGGGTTACCGTGCCAAGCAGAGGCGTAGCTAGGATATTTTGCGCCCGGGGACGAACTATAAATTGGCGCCCCCCACCCCCCCCCCCCCCCGTTTAATCACATTTTCCTAATACATCGAATAAGGAATAACAATAAACATTTTAATGAAACATTGTATTTAAAGAAGCAAATTTATAGAAATTATATTACATGGCTCACTCAGTCACTGTTGTAGACTGGTTGACATAGTCTACAAAAGATTATTTTTTCTTGATTTGATTGTCGCAAACTGGTCAATCACGTAATCAAAATCTGTTTTTCCCAATGTTTCTCTTTTAACGCTAAGAAGAGCAAGATCGCTGAGACGATCTTGTCCCATTGAAGCACGCAAATACGATCAAATAAGTTTCAATTTTTTTGGTTCATTCGGTAAAGTCACGTAGAAGGGAAGTAATAAAATAATAAAAATAAAACATAATAAAACAATTCATTCAGATGCTGTCGCCTCGACAGACCTGGTTTTCACCCGAGGACGGCTGCTTGCGTTGTGGCCGAAACGTCGTGAGAATTGTTTTATTGTTTTATTTTTAATATTTTATTACTTCCCTTCTACGTGACTTTACCGAAAGAACCAAGAAGATGAATCCCTGCAGTCACGAAAGCTTTAAATCGAAATTTAAGTTTCAATTTGCTGAACGACCGCTCACAGCTTGCAATTGAAACTGCTATTGTTAATACAATTTGCATTGAAATTCGCAAATTCGGAAATATGTTGTCTCCATAAAACACAATAAAACCAAGATGATCCAAAGGAGTTTCTGGTAGAACTTAATTCCGGTTACTGAGCAGCATTTTGCAATCTCCAATTTCTGTGAAAAGTTCGTGGCCATTGATGTCGGTGTCATAGAAATTTCCAAAATCTGTGCAATTTCGACGAATTGCATCGACATCTGTGTCGGATAGAAGAGTTTTGACGTCCAGCAGAAATCCAAATTTTGTGTTCAGGTCTTTTAGTCGTAAAAACCGTGTTGATAAAATACGCTCTTCATAACGCACACAATTTCTTCTTCTCCTGAAAGTCATGCAACTCTTGCCAGTTCTCCTGGCATCTTCCGACGTCGCCTAATTATTCTGTCCACATCGATCCCCCAGGCTGTGCATCTTGTTTTGGCGTTTTCTACAGCAACTTGGCTCAAATCATCACGAAGCTTGACAAATTCATGCTCCAAAGATTCAAGATCAGTTGCTGCTTCCTTGAAATTCATAGTAGGATCCTGTAAGCGCTTCTGAACACGATACATTTTTCCAAGAATGACATTCCAGAAATGTAATAAAACTATGAAGTTAAAATTTAATACGCATGCAAGTAACTGCATCACTTCTGGTTTCAGGCGTCATAGTTACGTCCTCTGATAATTTGTCTAGCAGCCCTACTAGTTCATCCAGTCCTTCATAGATAGCTTTAACAGCTTCTGACCATGCACTCCAGCGTGTTTCAGTCCCGCTTTACTGTGATGGGCACAGCTTTTTTAAACTCTTCCCAACGAATTGTTGAACGAGAGAAAAACAAATATATACGTTCAACTGTTACAAAAATTGTGAAGACAAGTGGATCCTGTTTAGCTGAGTGTACTCCTGCTAAGTTTAAGCTGTGGTTGTCACAGTTGACAAACAATGCTCTGTGATTTTTGTCACATATTCGTTGTTGAAGGCCGGATATATGCCCAGTCATCACAGCAGCATTGTCATAACATTGTGCTGCTAAATGAAGGCCACGCTATGTTGACGTGCGTGGGCTGCTCCGGCTGCTGCAGCCGCCTGGAGCGTGGTGTCACTAATAAGAACTAAAAATAGGCCGTCGTAGTTTCCGCCACCAAAAAACAGGCCAGTGACTAAGGCTGAAAGACTGCGCCTGTCTGTTGTTTGGGACGTTCTTCCATGTAAATTCTTAATAGGCGCGCGTACAAAAATGTAATTACATGACATGTAGGCTGTGTGTGGCGGGATATAAAAACTTTTAGGTTGAGGTGTAATTTTGTGCAGTAGTTTCAGGCTGCCGCGCCCGCCGCAATAAGTTATAATGTAACGTTGTAAGCTCATTTTGGCGCCCCTTTACCTTGGCGCCCGGGGACATATGTACCCCCCTGCCCCCCCCTAGCTACGCCTCTGGCGTGCTCCATCTCTCATTGGCTCAGAACTACACAGGGGAGAAGCTGACGATGTAGAGCGTGCGTTCAGAGCTGATTAGTCATCAGGGTGCTTTTGAAAGAGACCAAGAAAAAATAAATACAAATTAGGGTTTGGTTGGGAGAGCGTGGGGAGGAGAGACGGAAGGGATTGTGTGGAGAGGCAGGGAAAGCTCCAGAAAGGATGAGGAAGTGGATAAAAGGAGCATAGAGAAAGGGTTCATGGCGCCTGAACGGAGTGATATCTTGATGCGTTACTACTCGCAGCGCTTAGGATAGAATAAAGGTCCAAGTTCAAGACTTACCTGAGCTGGAACACCTTAACATTAGTGTGTCCATATATATGTATGTTGATGTGCCAATGCTTACCATTTCCTCCAGTTCTCTAAAGAGGAAGATTTGTGAAGCTCCATGGATGGAACAATTCCAGTGAAGATTGCTTCTTTGTGGCGCAGAATGAGCCGTCCTCGGACTGAATTGTAACGTCAGATCAAATAAATCTGCGAAACATCATCACCCGTGTCACTCTTCTATCACTTCCATGGCTATTGTTGCCACGAATGCCACTCACTCACCCACACGCTCACTCACAACATTTACTCACCCGATCACTCACTTACCCACACACTTACCCACTCTATATTAGCTTATATATTTAAACGTGTTACATAACATCTTTTTGGGTATTTTTTCTTATCGTTATTGGTTCTTATTTTATATTTTGACGTCATAAACACAATGGTGGATAGGCTTTGATTTACAATAATACCCTAAAATGCAGTAAGTTGGCACAGTAGAGGGCACAGGTGGTGCATCTGCCAGTCATCTCAGTTAGCCAACTAATGGCACTTGGTTTTGTCCCCGTGACTTGCGGGGAGCCTTCGACAGTTCACGTGGCCTAAAAGTGCACCTAACCTTGCACAGGCACCGTGCTAGCGGTGGTGACATCACACACTCACAGATCCACGCACACAGATTAAAAAAATACAAAGATCCTCAGTATAGCCTTAACATACTGTTGCGGAAGTGCTGTCAGTGGGCACCTATGAAGTCCGGAACTACGTTCGACTGCAATTATCTCCACCAATGACGATGTTTACACACCACATTAGGTACTAATTTGAGGTTGAGTCGATCTAGCGGAGGCCCAGGACTGGTTAAAATAATCGTCACTGGTGTTGGCCATGAGCGGGAATCGAACTCGGGTTCATAGCGCAACGCGTGTGGGTGAGTGAGTGGCACTACACTACAACAACAACCGCCATTCACCACTAAGTGGTGGTGACGTTACCACGACGCTTGTGCTAGGCTTTGTGCACGTTGAGGCACGTGTAGTGTCACGGGGCAGACCCAGATGCCACAGGTCGACTGACTGAGACGACTGGCTGATGCACCACCTGTGCCCCCTAGACCCCTACTGTACCAACTTGCTGTGCTTTAGCCACCCGGCGCTCCGCTCATTGTTGTAATCGTCACTCCTCTGCCCTCCGTTGTTGTTGGAGGGCGACTGCCTCCAACTGCCCAGTAGCGTCCTTCACGAGCCTCCTCCACAGAGGCCGATCTTGACACCGCTGGTACCAGTCATCGGCAAGTCCACTCAGCTCCACATCATCCTGTACCACATCACTCCATCTCTTCTCTAACCGGTGCCGCGCCCGTTTATCCCCCTCGATCTGGCCGAATAAAAGATGTTTAGGCATGCGGTGGCTGGGCATGCGGGCTACATGACCCAGCCAACGCAGCCTTGCATGCCGGCGGAGCTCACCGATGGGACTTTGTCCAGATCTTTTAAGGATTTGTGAGCTCCTCACACAATCCAGCCTAGTTAAACCCAGGATGGATCGTAGGCAGGCCAGCCTAAATGTTTCTAACCGGCGAAGATGTTCCATTAGGGGGGTCCACGTTTCGCAAGCATAGAGAAGGGAGGGAATGACTGGTCTGAGATGACCTGAAGCTTCGTGTGCAGCGACAGACCAGGTAGTTTCCACACAGCGTTATGCAACCGATGAATAGATAATGCCGCTCGACTGATTCGAAGTGAGACCTCTGCTGTTAAACTGGAGCCGGTCATGAACACACTGCCCAGGTATGAGAAACTTTCTACTCTCTCCACAACCGCCCTATCACCAATTGGGAGTTGTGGGGGTGGAGTGTCTGATGGTACAAAATACCCAGGCAGGTGCTTAGTTTTGGTGGGGCTGATGGTAACATCCCACCTCTTAGTGGCAAGCTCCAGGTTCAGCAACAGCGCCTCCAACTCCTCCTCTGAGTGAGCAGCAATTACCAGATCATCGGCATACATGGTTGCGCAATAGGGAGCCATCCCTTGACCGCACCCAGGCATCGATCACCCTCCCATTGTATGTGTACCAGATGGAAATTCCTGCAATACAGCTATTGAAGGCTTCATGAACTACGTGGTCGAAATAGATGTTAAATAATGTGGGAGCCAGAGGAACTCCCTGACGCACCCAAGGTGTACAGGGAATGGCTCTGACTCCCGGCCACTTAGTGACTCCGAAAGCATGAAGAACAACCCAAAGCCCAGGCCTACTGATGGACCAAGTCAATAAAGCAGAGATGTAGGTCTTGTTGGAATTCCCTACACCTCTGCTGAAGGAGACGGACAGAAAATATGGCATCTGTGCAGGACCACCCTTTCCTGAAACCGCATTGGGGCCCCGCAAGTCTCTCCTCAGGACCTTTCCCGGCACACTGAGGAGTGAGATGCCCCTGTAGTTGTTAAAGTATGTGCGGTCCCCCTTCTTCAAGAGGGGGACCACCAGGGCATTGTTCCAGTCTTGCGGAACCCGTCCAGTGGTCCAGACTTGTTATGATGTCATGTAGGGCAGTCTGTGCACAAACGCCACACTCCATCAGCATTTCGCTTGGGAGATCATCTCTGCCCGGTGCCTTTCGTGGTCTCAGACTCTGGATCACCCTCAGTACTTTCTCAACAAATGGCACCTCAACCAGCCACTTACAGGGGTGACTTCCAATATTTGAGGCACCGCAGCCTCAGCAGGGTCATCCCCACTTTGTCCCACGTTATTATCCAGGCTGAGGGATGTCCCCTCCCCCAGGACCTCACATAAATGCTCAGCAAATCTGCAAACCTGTTCCTGGGGGTCGGAGATTGGATCACCATTCTTTCCCCTAATGATGGTAATAGGTGCGGCGCTGCAGGTTACTTTTTTGATGGAATTAAAGAGCGATTTGTGATCACGGGCCATTGAGGAAGACTCAATCTCTTCAGCAACCCGCGACCACCACCCATCCTTGCAGCGCCTCACGGCTCTCCGAACCTCCGAGTGAAGTCTCCTCATTCTCCGATGTGGGATGCTGTAGCCGATGAGAGTGGGCCTGTCGCTTTTCTCAGCTAGCTTGAATACCTCCTCTGTCAGCCAGGGTCAGGGTCTCTGGGGAGGTCTGGACCATGTGTAATAGTGTTCCAGGAGACTTGGACGCCGGGGTTGGAGGCACACGTATTTATTCTGTGTCGGTACAGCACAACACTGACATACAACACTGGAGGGGGTATCGGCCCCCTCACCCGTCTAACTAGGGATACACTCTCTAGCTACACCTAGCCTACCTCTGGGTCCTCCACTAACGGGCTAGGGGAGGCTAGCTAGCCCGACACTGGTAAGTCGGGCTCACGGTACCCGGAGTCCCAGACCAGCTCTTACAAGAGCACCGGCTCTGGCTCTCGGGACCACGCCGCTGGCTCGATCCTGTTCGGCCCTGATAAGGGCGGCGATCCAGGGGAGTCCAGGGCTCTATCTACGACGATCTTCAGCCTTCACTGGTTAGCTTCAACATCTCTCCCTGAGCCCTCTTGCTCATCCCCTTTTATACCAAAACCCCCGCTGAGGGGTGGGGCCCCGGGGGATCCCAGCTCCGAGTCAGCCCCCCAGGCTGCCCGATGCGGACGTCGCTGGGAGCACCTTCCCGTGCACCGACATAGCCACGCCCACTGTGTTTCTTTCCCATCTGATCCCATTCTTTAACAGCCCCTCCGTAACACCCCTACATCACCCCCCCCTGTACAGCTCGCAACAAACAACAATAAAAGTGTATTTACCCCTTGAACCCGCGTGTGCCTCATAATTTTTTTTCAACAATAACAACAACAAGAACACCAACAAGAACCACAACAGCAAGAAGAGAAATAACCCGACGCACCCCCCCCCCCGAATAAATACGAATTCCGTAAGAGCACCCTATATACAATTTGCAGGAAAACACACCACATGCACAACACACAATGAACACAACATATATACAATCCAATTTGCAGGAAAACACACCACACACACAACACACAGTGAACACAACATATGTACAATCCTCCGGGCATCACAAAAGTCTGCGCGTTTTCGCGCGCGTTCTTGCAGCAGGCCCGTCACACGGGGCAACCCCGGATGGCGGACTGTTGGGTGGCAACCGTCCGTGTCCGAGTGAGTCACTTTCCGTTGCCGCGTGACCCTCGGCATCCCCAGGAGGGGTTGTCGGGCGTGAGCCCGTCACTCCCGGTGCACCTGGGGGCGGGACAGCCGGCAGCACGTTAGGTGAGAGCAGCGGAGACGGACCCTGTGAGTCGGCGGACCCCCCACATGTCTGGCCACGCGTGTGTGAAGTGGGAACTCGGGACGCAACGAACGGTTTCAATCTGGAGGGGTGCACAAACCACCGCCGCTTCCCCCATTTGATGCGTACACACCGAGGCCGCAAAACCTGAACCACCTCCACAGGGCCCCGCCACGGCCGCACCAGTTTAGAGGAGGTTGCAAGTGGTACCTGTGGACAGTGTAACCATGCCTTGTCACCCGGTTTCCACTGCAGCACGTGCGCCCGACCCAGCCTGAGCCTCTCGTTAGCCTTCTGGCGGAGGTCGGAATTTTGCATAGCAGCCTCCCGTGCCTCTGTTAATTTAGCAATATTGAATTTAACATGGTCGGGCAATTTAGTTTTACCCCGCGGCGCGGAGATCTGCAGCTGGGTCTGAACAGGCGGGTCAGGTTCGCGGCCGTACATCAAGAAAAAGGGGGAAAATCCCGTTGCCGCATGGGGAGCCATTCTATATGCTGCCAAGACCCCTTGAATTTGAAGGTCCCAATCGGTCTGTGAGTCCGAGACCTGTTGGGACAGCATTGACGTGATGATTCGATGCAGACGCTCCACCATCCCGTCAGTTTGCGGATGATATGGGGAGGTACGAATTTTTTTCGTGCCCAGGAGCTCACAGACCTCTTGGAGAAGTTTACCAGAAAAATGTTTGCCCTGGTCGGTCAGCAGCCGCTCCGGAGAACCTTTGTCCAGGACGTATCCCTGGATAAAGGCCTCCGCGATGGCTGCTGCCGACTGGTTGGCAAGGGGCCAGGCCATAGGCCAGCGCGTAAAATATTCCACCCCGGTCAACAGGTATCTGTTGCCCCTGGGGGTAGCGGGGAATGGGCCCAGAATATCAAGCGCGACAAGCTCGTTGACCCTGGAAACT